CCCACAACTCCCCCCCAACCCTTCACCCCCCAAAAAAAAATTATAGGCAGCCAGGTGCCAGTGGCTCACACCTGTAATCCTAGCTACTCAAGAGGCTGAAATCTGAGGATTGTGTTCAAAGCCAGCCCAGGGCAGAAAAGTCTGTGAAACTCTTATCTCTAATAACCACCAAAAAACTGGAAGTAGAGCTGTAACTGAAGTGGTATAATGCTAGCTTGGAGCAAAAAATCTCAAGAACAGCAACCAGGCTCTGAGTTAAGCCCCAAGAATGGGGGTGTGGGGGGTTGGGATCTAAACAAATACTGGCCTTTAGTTAAAGCTTTACAGGTTTATGATGTTTACAGAGGCTTTCCACTTAGACAACTCTGGTGTCTGTGAAGATTGACTCCACAGTGCCCTGTAGAAAAACTGAAGAGTATTCAAGTCCCTTATATAAAATATTGTCAAATTTCCATACAGCCCTCACACGTCTTCCTGTTTACTTTATTTCGTGGCTGCTAATCACATCTAATAGATGCTATCCACAATACTTAGCATAAGTTATTATATTATATAATTTAAAGAATAAGGACAAAAAATCTGCATATTTTCAGTATGGATGTGATCTTTTCCAAATCTTTTTTGATCTGTAGTTGATGGAATCCAAGGATCCAGAACCCTAGGATACAGAGGGCTAACTCCTCCAATGAAGACTTGCACGTAAATATACAAGCATTCTCCTATCTCACCAACTGTCTATAGCAAACCTCCCATCCCCTCAGGCCACTCCTCCACCTTCAGATCTGAGAAGGAGCCCAGCACTCTGGGATGTAGTGTAGTGGTAACCTAGGGCCTGGAATAGCACTCGTCACTCCTTCGCTGAGCTAAGGCCTCAGATCTTTCCAGTTCCTTTGGTGGGCAGAACTTTGTCATCCCCTCAACTTCCCAAACTCTCTTCTCTTTGATGCTTTACATTTTTTTCTTTGCTCCCTTTACATTTGTCAAGTATCTACACAAATTCAGACCTTCCTCAACACATGTAAAGGAGATTAGACTACTTTGCTCACAGTTGTATTCCCTGTACCTGACTTTGTGCCCTGCCAATTAGTAGCTAGGTTTTCAAACAATGTTTGTTAAAACTGTGGGGGTGGAAGGCACACTAAGCCCAAGATAAACCCCTAGAAGTTCAAGTCCAACCTAAGCAAGGAAACCAGAACTGGTCAGGAAAAGGAAGAGAAAGGAGAAAGGAAAGAAATCGAAATGAATGGAAAAGAAAGGAGGAAGGAAAGAAGGAAGGAAGGAAGGAAGAAAGGAAGGAAGGGAAGGGAAGGAGGGACGGAGGGAGGAAGGGAAGGAAGGAGGGAGGAAGGGAAGGAAAAATTCTATACAGACAGCACATATAAGGAATAAAATCTTCAGATATTAATAGGGGATGGTGACTAGTGGACAGATAAATACATAATGAGTAATAATACTATTGGGGGGGGCTTACATGGAGCATGCTACCAATGACTTATGCCTGTAATCCTAGCTACTCAGGAAACTGACATCTGAGGATATCCATTTGAAGCCAGCCCAGGCAGGAAAGCCCTTGAGATTCTTATCTCTGATATAATAAAAAATAAAAGCCAGAAGTGGAGCTGTGGCTCCAGTGGTGGAGTGCTAGCCTGGAGCACAGAAGCTCAGGGACAGCACCCAGGCCCTAGTTTTCAAGCTCCTAGACTAGAACCTCCCCCCCATAAAAAGGAAAGCTAGAGTTACAACTCAAGTGGTAAAGCATCTTCTAACAAAGGTGAGGCCCTGGGGCTGGGAAGGTGGCTCAGTGGTAGAGTGCTTGCCTTGCATGCCCTGGGTTCGATTCCTCAGCACCATATAAGCAAAAAGAAAAAAGCTGGAAGTGGCACTGTGGCTCAAGTGATAGAGCGCTAGCCTTGAGCTGAATTGCTGAGGGACAGCGCCCAGGCCCAGAGTTCAAGCCCCACGACCGGACCAAAAACAAACAAACAAACAAACAAACAAAGGTGAGGCCCTAAATTCAAATCCCAGTACTGAGGAAGGAAGGAAGGAAGGAAGGAAGGGAGGGAGGGAGGGAGGGAGGGAGGGGAGAAGGAGAGGTAGACACATAAAAGAAGAGAGAAGAGAAAAGAGAAAAGCTCCAGCGCAGGCTGGCGATGTGACTTGGTTAAGGTACTCTACCTAAGTTGGGCGGAGGAATGGGAGGAATGGGAGGAATGGGAGTAGGGAACAAACCGAACTGTTGATTGGGATTGCCTTTGAAGAGTTAAGGATGAAATCGCTGGGACTTCTGCTTTTATTTCTTTCTTTAAACGATTTAACAGGCACGTGTTGTTCATTTTAAAAGTATTTAAAATATAGCAAACTTGATTCTGTATAGAACAAGACTCTAAGGTAAGGTGCACAAGGCTTCTAAAGCCCAAGCCCTTGAATACACTTAAAAACGGCCTGACACCTGTGGGCCACCCCTTTAAATCCTTCGGGAAGCCGCCGCGGTGGATGGAAAGCCCGGGGTAGAATCCCGGGGAAGAGCGGGCGGCCGCGTGCACTCTGCTTTTCCAAGCACACCAGCCTTTCCCAGAGGCGCTGGGCTCGGCAGAAGATCTAGCCGGTACTCCTCACTTCTCCGATCTCTGCGTCGAGATCTCAGGGTCTTAAAAGACAGAACTCAGTGTTTCTGACCATCTCCATCGCAGCTGGGACGACAACGGGCCGCCTCTAATCTCGAACACTCCTCAACCACAGCAAAACTAGGGTGACTGCGACGGCCGGCGTGGACAAGAACAGCTGAAGTGGGCCACGCTCGGCCTTCGGTCGCCCCCCACCCCGCTGCGGTACCCGGGGCGATGGCGTACAGGGGCAGATCTCCAGGACTGTGAAGGGCTGTCCAGAGTCAGAGCCAAGACCGAGAGGGCCAAGCTACGCCGGGGGCCTGCACCCAGGACCCCTCTTCCCCAGCTTCGGGAACTTGGCAGCATCGCCCACCGGGGCGCGAGGGTTTGCGCGTCTCCCCTCCCCTCCCCAGCCCGCTGAGGGGCAGGTGGCTGAGGGGTAGCGGGGGAGAAGCGGCTTGCTGGGGTGCAGGGCGCCCGGCCAAGGTCGCCAGTCCGGCGAGACTGCGCCTTTCCCCGCCCTAGGTGCTTGCACCTGTGGAGTCCATGCAACCATTTAAGCGCTCCTTTCTCCGCCTCGTTGGCCCACGTGGGGAATATAAGAAGCGGTCCTTGAGCGCTGGCTAAGGGTTGGGATTTTGGTTTTCGGAGCCAACAGCGTCTAAGGTCGAAAGCCGTCCACCGTAGGGTCAAGCTGGCCCCGGGCGATTAAAACTTCCCAGGGCGCAGAACGCCCACCGGGAGCCTCCCATGCCTCGGAAGGCGGAGGCGGAGGCGTGGAGCGCAGGTGCCCAGTACCCGCCACTCGACGATGCCCGCATCTCGGGGTAGCGCCCAATCCACGGCCGGTGACTGAGATAAATGCCCACGGATCCGGAGAAGGTCTGTCGGCAACAGTCTTTTGGCACACTGGAAGCCGAGACCCTGAGTTCCGAGGCTCAGCCTTCCCATCGCCGGGGTGGGTGTGCGCGCGGAGGGACTTCCTGGCGACTCTGGATAACTTTTGCCAACTCGCGGCTTTCCGACCCTGCCCTCCGAGAACATCTGCCCCGGGAAGTGGGGGTGGTGGGCGTGAACGCTCTACCTAGGCACCCCAGGGAGCGTGTTTAGACCTCCGGAGACCTGGGGACCTGGGGAGTGCGGGCCAATGGTTGCGGTGGGCGGGGAGAAGGCGGTCCCGGGAATCTACCAGCGGCTGACCCCTCCCTACCCTCGCCGTCTGGGATCTCTTGCAGCCCCGCCCTCCACCTTCGGTCTTAACCCAGCCTCAGCCCTGGAGGTGCTGCCCGAAGTCCCCCACCCTGGTCCGGAGCCTGCTCGCCCCACGGCGTCTGGAAGCGTTGGCTGCTTAAAGGTAGGCGCCTGGCTAGACGCGACTCTGAATCTCAGGGCCGTCGTCCTGCCCAGCTTCGGGCAAGGGCGCTCAGCGCTGCCATCGTGGGCGTCTGATGTGCCAGGAGAGGGCTGGGCTGGGCTGGGCTGCGGTGGGGTAGTGCGGGAGTCCTTAAGCGGTTTTCGAACTCGAGTTGCACGTCCTTGGGGTTGAGGGAAGCCAGGAGCCGAGCGGCCCCGGCAGCATCGCTGCGTGGTGGCTGACCTCTTCTGCTGACCCCATGTTCTTTCATTTCTGAGTCACGACCCTGCTTGGTTTGCTCATTGGGCTCATTGATCCCGGCTCTGGAAGAGCTTCACTCTTGGGGTAACCAGACTTTTGCCCGAGACGCGAGACGTCGGCCGGACTCTGCGTGCGTGGGAAACAGCGCCGGAGGCGAATCTCGGGGGCGATCGGGCGCTGCGGGCTCGCGGCTCGGCTGCGGGAGTCGCGATCGCGGGGACTTGCGCGGGAGGGGCCAGGTGGCCGGGCTGGCGCTGGCGGCCGGACCTCCACCTGCGGGGTCCCACGCGCAGCGGGCCTTTGGTTTCTCCCTGCTGCCCCCGCTCCGGGACATCCAGGGAGTGGCGGCCGACTCCCCACCCCTCCCTACCTTTTTATTACCCTTGGCTCCTGCTACCTGCCCCAGAAGCGAGAGGGCCGGCCGCGGCGGACCACCCCGGGGACGAGGCGGACTCAAATAAGGGTTGCTGGGGCGGGGCTGGGGGCGGAAAGTGGGGAGGTTGGTTAGTGAAGGTGCTTTGGAGATGGAAGGCCAGGGCGACCAGAGCCTCGCAAGTTCCGAAGTAGAAACTTGCAATCGCGTGGCACGGAGGCTGATTTTCGTTTTGATGCGTTTTGTAGTTTTTACATTATTATTTTTATTCCTCCTGTGGGATCGAGTTGGGAAGTCTAGATTCAACCAACTGCGACGGGAGGCCTCCTCGGGTAGGGGAGGCGCGGCCGGGTCCCGCGCACTCAGCTGGGCTTGCTTCTCCGCAGGCGGCCGTGCGCAGCCCGCAATGGCTCTGCAGCAGCCCGCGGAGGCTGAGCTCCAGGACAAGGCGTGCTACCCGCTCGAAAGGTTCCAGAGCACCCCGCATCACCTGGCCGCTTACTACGCGTCTTTCCCAAGCTACGGCCACTACGGGAACGCCTTACCCTCGAGCGAGGAGAGCCTGCAGCCTTTCCCGCAGACAGAGTCCTCGGTGGCCGCCACCCAGGCGACCGCCCCTTTCCCCTTCCGAATGGCGCCTCCCTTGCTGAGCCCCGAGCTGGCTCTGCAGAGTGAGCCTTTCTATAACCTGCCCTGGTACAGCAAGCTGTCCACGTGGTACCCAATCCCCCCCCTCCCCAGGGAGGCGCCACCCTGCCCGAACAGCACGGAGTGCACAGGTGACATCAGTCACGATCTGGTTTCCTTTGGTGGCCTCAGCAACAGTGGCCAGTGTTGGGGGCCTGAAACGTTCTTTCTGCCTCCTTCTGTGGTTGCTTCCCTGTTACCCGAGGGACTGAAGAGCTCCCAGCCGATATCTGCCTCCAAAGCCCTGAACCAAGACAAACTGCCAGGTCCTCGCTTCCAGTTCACCCAGGAGGAGCTGCACTTTGTCTTATATGGCGTCACACCCAATCCAGAGCCCCAAGTCCGTCTGCACCACGCGATTTCAGGCTTCCCGGTCCCCACAGAAAGTTCGGGTAAAGGGAGTTCTGTCTGGGAGGTGGGTGGGAAAGGAGACAACCAGCGCCTGAGTGTTGAGAAGAAGTAGCATTTCAAAGTGGGCCTAAGATGTCCTGGGGAGTGGGGGGCGGGGAGAGCTCCGGCAGAGCCCCCTGCTCAGTCCTGCCTGCTTCCCAGCCCCTGCTCGCTGAAGTACGTCCTAGGATTCCTGGGGTTGGTTTTAGTGAGAATCGAGACCTATGGAAGAAATGGTTGATGTGGTGGCATTGTTGATGTGCAGGATATCTCTCCCAGACAGCTTCCTAAAAATCCACATCTGGTGCCAAAGTTAGATGACTAGCCATTTACCTTGACCTCAGTCAAGCAGTATCTGTGATTCTCAGCTTTCTCGAGTTTGCAAAGTGGAGATATTACATACAGACCCTTGCACGATGAATGGGTTTTTTCTGAGTCTCTAGTGCGAGATTGTATATGAAAAGCTCTCTTCAGAGAAGGGGAGGGGAAAAAACATAATAAAGGATAAGATTCAAAAGGAACTCAGAATGGTGGTAAAACTGGAGAATAAGGAGGAAACTGCATCAGGGAAGTATTTCATCCTACATTGCTAATGAAAAAGGTGTACCTCTGCTTTTTTGGTTTTTGTTTTTCTAGGACCAAGCCATCTTCCCCAAACTCTGGATAAAGACTCGCTCCAGCTTCCAGAAGGTGGGTAGTTGCACTCCTTGCTTGCATTTATTTCCAGAGACAAATACCCAGTTCTTTTAAACTTGGTTTTTCTTTCTCTGCCTGGCCCTGGTTTTCCCTAGGTCTCTGCATCATGCAGGCGATGGTTGGCAGCATTCCTCATCTTGGTGTGTTCTGCAGCAATTTCATTGCTAAAGGCATCCGGTTTGGCCCCTTTCGGGGTAAAGTGGTCAACGCTAGTGAAGTCAAGACCCACCGGGACAACTCTCTGATGTGGGAGGTAAATTTGCTGAAGGTCAGGAAGGGTGGCTGGAGGGACAGTGACTTCTCTCTCGGAGAGTCCAGGCCTGAGAGGGAGGTGAACACCTGCTGTGAACACATCAGGTAGAATAGATATTTAAACAACGCATTGTATTATATTTATAGACAAAAGCAACTGCTTTAAATGTTACACAGTGCTGAAAAGTATGCTAAAGGAAATATAAATGAATTTGAGACTTTGGTATTTGCCTTTCAGCCAAGAATTTTTTCAAAGGTTTTTTTTTGCATACATTGTTGTGTGGGTGGGGGTATTGTAACATTTCCATACATGCATACAATGGACCTCATCAACCTACCCTACAGCCAAGAGTTGTTGTTGTTTTCTTCTTTTTTCAATGGATACTCTCCAAACTAGCAAAGGGCCCTAGGGCATGTTGGTGAGATTGCATCTTGCTGATTTACAGGGGAAAAAAAAATGTTTATAAGAATATACCAGAGGGCTGGGAAGGTGGCTCAGTGGTAGAGTGCTTGCCTTGCATGCCTGAGGCCCTGGGTTCGATTCCTCAGCACCACATAAGCAAAAAGAAAAAAGCTGGAAGTGGCACTGTGGCTCAAATGGTAGGGCGCTAGCCTTGAGCTGAAGAGCTGAGGGACAGTGCCCAGGCCCAGAGTTCAAGCCCCACGACCGGACCCCCCCAAAAAAAAGAATATACCAGATACCTTAAAATGTTTAAAATAGCTTGACCCTAAATTTCTACTTTTAGAAATAGTAAACAGAAACAGAAAAGTTATCAGAAATTCAAGGTAGGTGGGAGAGGGTAAGAATAAAGAGTTGCTATAATAAAACATTAGAATTTATTTTTTGTTTTGTGATCAGTGTTTTTAGCATAATTTTATTGTTATTATTAATATTAAGGTATAGTACTGAGGAGTTACCATTTCATAAGTCAGGTGATGAGTAGTTTTTTTTTGGGGGGGAGGGGTTTCGGTTGTGGGGCCTGAACTCTGGGCCTGGGCGCTGTCCCTCAGCTTTTCAGCTCAAGGCTAGCGCTCTACCACTTGAGCCACAGTGCCACTTCTGGCTTTTTCTTTTTGCTTATTTGGTGCTGAGGAATCGAACCCAGGGCCTCATTCATGCAAGGCAAGCGCTCTACCACTGAGCCACCTTCCCAGCCTCAGCTTTTTCTTTTTTATAACTCAGCACTTTTTTATAACTCAGCCCTGTCCCTGAGCTTTTATGCATAAGGCTAGTACTCTACCACCTGAAAACCAAGACTCCATTTCTGGCTTTTGGATTGTTAACTGGAGACTCTTGGAACAGAAATCCCCAGATCTCAGCCTCTTGAGTAACTAGGATTATAAGCATAAGGCACAAGCACCCAGCTTAATGTTTGTTTTCCTTTTTAATGTTATTGAGGTTTTTAACTCAGGGTTTCTTCTATGCTGTACAACTTAAGCTACATCTCCAGCTCAATTAAATGTTAGACTGAAATTGTGCAATGACTCTGTCAGTATCCGAGGTAGTAAATAGTTGCATTTAAGTGGTGGGATTAAATTTGTTTCCCTTACTTCAGAAATCTGATTTAGCCTGGTGCTGGTGGCTCACCGATGTAATCCTAGATACACTCGAGGCTGGGATCTGAGGATCATGGTTCAGAGCCAGCCCAGGCAGGAAAGTCTGAAAATTCTTATCTTTAGTTAACCACCAAAACCTGAAAGCGGAGATATGTCTCAAGTGGTAGAGGATCAGCCTTGAGCCAAAAAAAGAAAAAAGCTAAGGGACAGCACCCAGGTCCTGAGTTCAAGGCCTGCTACCCACAAAAAAACAGAGACAACAACAACAAAAATCTGATTTATTGAAATACAGTTAGTATATTCAAGTAAGTAATATATTCAAGTAAGACATTTGAATGATCAGTTCTTCATAAGTTTATAGGTTTGAAAACAAATCACAAATCAAAACTTCATGTGCAGCTTATAGGCTCATGTCTAATCCCAGCACTCAGGAGACTGAGGCTATTTAAGTGAGACCTTGTCTCCACAGAGCAACAAACCCCCTCTTCATGTCTCATTTTACTCAGATCTTTGAAGATGGTCACTTGAGCCACTTTATTGATGGAAAAGGTACTGGACACTGGATGTCTTATGTCAACTGTGCCCGCTTCCCCAAGGAACAGAACCTGATGGCAGTACAGCATCAAGGGCAGATATTTTATGAGAGCTGCAAGGAAGTCTACCAGAACCAGGAGCTCCTCGTGTGGTATGGAAACTGCTATGAGAAGTTCCTGGATATTCCTATGAGCCTTCAGGCCCCTGAGCAGGGCAACCAGCCGGCTGGGCAATCTGATGGTGAGTGCTCACTTTTGCCCCGTTCAGCAAGAGCTTCTAAAGGGAGGACTGGGCTCTTCCTAAACCCACCCAGTCCTAATGCAGGAAGCCAAACTGAAGCTGTCTCCTCATCTTTATAAGGATATACCTTTTCTACCTCTGCAACCCTCTGGAGAATAAAACTGAAATAAATGGGTGCCACCTGTGGCTTAGGTGAGCAAGTTTCTGAGTCATCTCTCTCAGGCTAAGCTTTTTAAATGGTGGGTTGCAGCATTTTAGTGGGGTGGAAAAATCAATGTAGTGATTGGGACTGGCATTAAAGAAAAAGAATAAAAACAAAGTAGAATACAAAATATTGATGGGAATCACTTAAACAGTAACACTGCTTTAAGTTTTTGCTTCAAAGGATTCCTTGTGTATAGGCTGGGTATCAAGTAAGAATCTCTCTCTCTCTCTCTCTCTCTCTTGCTCGCTTGCTCGCTCTCTCTCTCTCTCTTGCTGGTTCTAGAGCTGAACTCAGGCTGTGGCAATGTGCCTGAGCCTTTCCACTCAGGACTAGCACTCTTCCACCTGAGTCATAGCTCCACTTCTGGCCTTTTTGGGTGGTTAATCCTTTTTGTGTTGTTAATTGGCGATAAGAGTCTTCACATACTTTCTTGTGTGAGCTAGCTTTGATTTGAACCGTGATCCCAAGTAGTTAGGATTACAGGTATTAGCACCAGCACCCAGCTGAAGTTTTTTTTTTTTCTTTCTTTGCCCCCTCCCTTTAGTTTGGGTGAGGTTTTTTTTTAATTTTTTTAATTGTTATTGTTACAGAGAAGTGTGTGTGTGTGTGTGTGTGTGTGTGTTGTTATTGTTACAGAGGTGTGTGTGTGTGTGTTGTAGGGCCTGAACTCTGGGCCTGGGCTCTGTTCCTCAGCTCTTTAGCTCAAGGCTAGCACTCTACCACTTGAGTCATAGCACCACTTCTGTTTTTTTCTGCTTATGTGGTGCTAAGGAATTGAACCCAGGGCCTCATGCATGCAAGGCAAGCACTCTACCACTGAGCTGCCTTCCCAGCCCAGTATTTATTCTTAAACACTGTCAGTCATCCAACCTAGGGCCTGTTTCAGGCTAGGAAAGCACTCTACCACTGAGTTAAAACCTCAGCCCGAGGGTCAGGCAAGCTTGAGAAACATTGACTTTTTCTTTTTCAAGACAGGTCTAATAGGCATGGCACTGGTGGCTTATAACTACAATCCTAGCTACTAAGGGTACCCTGCCAAGATAGGAGGAGTTGTGGTTGAAGCCAGCCTGGGCAAGAGAGTAGTCAATGAGAGTCTTTATTTCTAATTAACTACCCAAAAGCCAAAAAATGGAGCTGTAGCTTAACTGGTAAAGTGCTAGCCTTGAGGTTTTTTGTTTTGTTTTGTTAAAAAAAAAAAGGCTGAGAAGATGGCTCAGTGGTAGAGTGCTTGCCTTGCATGCATGAGGCCCTCCTTTCAATTCCTCAGCACCACATAAGCAGAAAAGCCGGAAGTGGCACTGCAGCTCAAGTGATAGAGTGCTAGCCTTGAACTGAAGAACTGAGGGATAATGCCCAGGCCCAGAGCTCAGGCCCCATGACCAACCAAAAAAATAAAAATAAAAAACTCAGCGACTGCACTAGTACTGGGACACAACAAAAGTAAAGATGGTTATAAACAACTGTTTATCTTGTAGAGATGCTACTCTTTTTTTTCTTCCTTTCTTTCCCCCTTTTTTTTTTTTTTGGTGCTGGTCCTGGGGTTTGAACTCAGGGCCTGGGCACTCTCCCTGAGCTTTTATGCTAAAGGCTAGTGGCTCTGCCACTTTGAGCCACAGTGCCATTTCTGCCTTTTTGGTAGCTAATTGGAGGTAAGAGTCTCATAGGCTTTCCTGTCTGGACTGGGTTTAACAATGATCTTCAGATCTCAGCCTCCTGAGTAGCTAACCTTACAGGCTTGAGCCCCAGAGTGCCCAGTTCCAGTTTTTTTTTTGTCAGTCGTGGGGCCTGAACTCTGGGCCTAGACACTGTCCCTCAGCTCTTCAGCTCAAGGCTATCCCTCTACCACTTGAGCCACAGTGCCACTTCTGGCTTTTTCTGCTTATGTGGTGCTGAGGAATCGATCCCAGAGCCTCATGCACTCTACCACTGAGCCACCTTCCCTGCCCCTCCAGCTCTTTTTATACATTCAAAAGTTGGGAAATCTGATCTAGACAAATGTAAATTGCAATCATATGTGTAATAAAATAGGACACCCCATTCTTGTGATATACTAAAAGTCCCAGGAAGCAGGTTAATGTGTATGTGTGTGTTTGTGTACGTATGTATGTATTGAACTCATCACACGCTGCAGTGAGTGTCTACATATGTCTCATGCCTGACTGATACTCTTTAGGACATGAAATGTTCCCAAATATCTATCATTGACTCCTGGAGAAAGAGAAAGAGAAAGCTGCTTAGGAATCAAGATGAAGTAGGGGTCCTCTGGGTGGGGAGTGAAGGAAATCAGGCTCAGGCAACAGTGATACAAAGGCAAAGAAATACCCACCAAGCATGAGGAGGTCACAAGCGCTCTTCTGGTGGTCAAAGTTGTCTTGGTGGGGCTGGGAAAATGGCTCAGTGGTAGAATGCTTATCTTGCATGCATGAGGCGCTAGGTTTGATTCCTCAGCACCACATAAACAGAAAAGGCCAGAAGTGGTGCTGTGGCTCAAGTGATAGAACACTTGCCTTGAGCTGAAGAGCTGAGGGACAGTGCCCTGGCCCAGGGTTCAGGCACCACGACCGACAAAAAAAAAAAAAATTGTCTTGGTGGACTACCCTCCTGTTCCCCCAGTGTGTAGGTGTGGTCATGGGATATAGGTAGAGATGGGAGGAGTATTATCTCATTCATCATCACAGCAAGAAAGCCTCTTTAAAAAGGTCATGTCCAGAAATGTACCAACACTTTTGAAATGCAAGTGAAAAGTGGATTGAGAAATATTATTTACAAACCTGCTATGTCTTTGAGAAGTTATTTTAGTACATTATTAAAATGTCCAGAATCAGCTAGGAACTGGTGGTTCATGCCTGCAATCCTAGCAAGTCAGGAGGCTGAGATCTGAGGATCACAGTTCAAAGCCAGCACAGGCAGGAAAGTCTGTGAGACATCTCCAATTAACTACCAGAAAACTGGAAGTAGAGCCATGGCTCAAAGTGGTAGGCTACTAGTCCTGAGCAAAAAGAGCTCAGGGAAAGTACCTAGGCTCTGAGTTCAAGCCCCTTGACCCACAATAAATAAATCTTAAAAAATGTCAGAATCTTTGATAGCCCAGCCAGAGGGCTAGATGTGTGGCTTAAGTGGTAGAGTGCTTACCAGTAAGCACAAGACCCCCAATACTGCAAAGCAGACAAACAAAACAGTCCATCCTGGCCAAGTCACTTTAGGCACTTTGACAGGCAGAGGCAGAAGGGGACTATGAGTTAGTCAGTATAAGCTCATAGTGAGACAGCCTGGATTATGCAATGAGACCCTGTCTCAAAAATAAAGAAGAAAAAAGGAGAGGAAAAAGTGGGGGAAGTCCTAAAGGAAACCCAGAAGTATGTATGTATGTTGTGTATGTGTTTGTGTTTGAACTCAGGTCCTCAGTAGCGTACTTTAGCTTTTCTTTCTTTTTTTTGGGGGGTGGTCCAGTCGTGGGGCCTGAACTCTGGGCCTGGGCGCTGTCCCTCAGCTCTTCAGCTCAAGGCTAGTGCTCTACTACTTGAGCCACAGTGCCACTTCCGGCTTTTTTCTTTTTGCTTATGTGGTGCTGAGGAATCGAACTCAGGGTCTCAGGCATGCAAGGCAAGCGCTCTACCACTGAGCCACCTTCCCAGCCCGCGTACTTTAGCTTTTCTGTTCAAAGTTGGTGTTTATCACTTGAACCACAGGCCCACTTCCATGTTTGGTGGTTAAGTGGAGATAAGAGTTTTGACTTTTGAGTGGAAAAATTCTAAGTACTTAGTAATAGAATAATTGTTAAATAAATAATCATCTTTTTCTAACATGGAATAGTGAGCAGGTGTCTGAGATCACAATTATAGAAATAAACTGGATGAAAGCTAAGGATGGAAAAAGAAAACCCAATTTTCAGTTACCTGTGCTCCATTTCTGATCTATCAGCTTTGGATGTTTGCATCATTATTGAATGGCATGGATTTTGAACTGTACGTGGAAGGGAACTTGAATCAATATAATTTATTGGCAAGACTCATGAATGACTTCATTTTCTATTAATATGAATAACATTTTGTTTTGTTGCCATGTTGATGATCAAACTGAACCCAGGGCCTCAAATATGCTAGGCGAGTGCTCTATCACTGATCTATACCTTCCTACTCAATATGAATGCTTTTAGGCATGATTTAAAAAGAAGCATCAAGTTAGGCATAGCAGTGCATGCCTGTAATCACAATATTTGGGAGTTGAAACAAAAAGATAGGGTATTTGGGCTGGGAAGGTAGCTCAGTCGTAGAGTGCTTGCCTTGCATGCATAAGGCCCTGGGTTTGATTCCTCACCACCACATAAATAGAAGAAGCCAGAAGTGATGCTGTGGCTCAAGTGGTAGAGTGCTAGCCTTGCATGCATAAGGCCCTAGTGATGCAGTGGCTCAAGTGGTAGAGGGCTAGCCTTGAGCTGAAGAGCTGAGGGACAGTGCCCAGGCCCAGAGTTCAAGCCCCACGACTGACAAAAAGAAAAAAGAAAGGGAGTTTGAGGCAAGCCTGGAGTAGCTAGACCCTATGTCAAAATAACAACAATTATTATAACCAAAAATAAATGTTAAAATTAACTTACAAAGACCTAAATAGAAATGTAAAGGGTCACTGTTCCTTTTCTGCCTAAGTAGTTATAGAATGCCAACTAGTTGAACCTTCATTCTGAATTGTGTGTTTTAGTGTTTCGATTTATGAAAATCACTAATCTTGTCTTAGAAACCCTCTTTCTACCCTCCAAATTCAGCAAGGCTAGTATTTCCTAAACACTTAAAAAAAATCTAACTCTTGAGATAGAGTGCCCTGGGCAGGGGTCCCCAATTCCAAGAGTGTCACATATTTCACAAAGCAAGTAGGGCCCTGGCCAGTGTCTTCTGGTGGTATTCACTTTAATAGGTGTTTTGTTTCCTTAGCCACCTGTGAAACATCCCCAGTGTGTTGTCAGTTATCAAAATTTCTGACCACAGCTTCCCTGTGTCCCAGTGCCAGAATGATTTTATCTGCAGGTTCCCAATAAGTGTTTCCAATTAAAGGAAACATCTCAGTAATGTTGTGTAATGTGAAAGTCAATGTATTTCAACCCTTAACATTCTAACATTTGAGCCAAATTTTGCCCAATGGCCTGTTTCAGGAAAACTAGGAGGTAGAAGGAAGTGTTCTTAATTCTTAATTGAGCTGGAGGGAAAAATTCTTCCACAGAAACATTTCAGAGAACTAGTAGAAGAAGACCTATAGATTAAGGTGTTTAAGAGAAACACAGCCATGGACAACATGTAGAATTTGAATCCTAATTTAAGCAAACAATAAATACAAAAGTCAGGTACTTGGTGCCTCATACCTGTAATCCTAGCTACTTGAGAGGCTGAGATCTGAGGATTATACTTGAAAGCAAACCCCGGCAGAAAAGTCTGTGAGACTCTTATTTCCAAATAACCAGCCAAAAACTGGAAGAGGAAGTGAGGCTCAAGTGATAGAGTACCAACTTTGAGCAGAAAGAGCTAAGGGGTAATGCCCAAGCCCTGAGTTCATGCCCCAGTACCAGAAATAAATAGAGAAGCATGTGCATGTCTATTTACATATCTATGTTTTGTTTAAGGCACTAAATGTTAGAGATGACAATACTATTGTGAAATACTTTAGTCAGTTGTGAGGCTTGAACTCAAGGCCTGGGTGCTGTCCCTGAACTATTTTGCTCAAGGATACTGCTCTACACTTCAGCCACAGCTCAACTTATGGTTCTCTGATGGTTAACTGGAGATAAGCATCTCACAGACTTTCCTGCTTGGACTGGCTTTGAACTGTGATCCTCAGATCTCAGCCTCCTGAATAGCTAGGATTGCAGGCATGAGCCACCAGCTCCCAGCCCTACTTATTACAAAATCCATATCTTGCAAAGACTGAAGTTTGAGGTGTGTATTAGCCAAATGGTGAATTAGAATTAAAATTGTTCTATTGAGAAGCCATAGACACAAAAATGAAATGGTTTGAGAATTGATTATTGTCAAGTTGGTGTTGGGCACATGTGGATCTATTTACATTTCTACCTTGACTGTATATATTCATGGTTTTATGTAAAGAAAGATGTTTTAAATAAATGAAAGGAGGAGGGGAAGTAGTTAATGGGTCCCCTGGCTCTTCTGTCCCCATTTTTGACAGAGTCTGCAGAAGGCTACAGGTGCGAGAGGTGTGGAAAGGTGTTTACTTACAGATACTACAGAGATAAGCACCTCAAGTACACCCCATGTGTGGACAGGGGGGACAGAAAATTTCCCTGTTCTCTCTGCAAACGATCCTTTGAAAAACGGGACCGGCTCCGGATCCACGTCCTTCATGTCCATGAGAAGCACAGGCCTTACCTGGTGAGCACTCTCTAAATACACGAATCAATTACATGATGCTTGAGGTCTACAGCCTGGTGAGGAAGGCAGAGTGGACGTTAGGTAACAGACAACCTGCTAACTTTCCTGGCTGGGGACACCCAGCTGCTCATTTCACACAGTGGGACCCACTCCTACATGGGAACATGGGGATCCCACTCAGTTTCCACACTTCAATCTGCCACCCAGCAAGGCTGGATGAATTGCATGTCATCACAGCTTTGGTATTCAGCAGTGTTGGGCAGGGTCTGGACCAGAGCCTGAGATTTCAGTAGAGTCCTTGGACATTTTTCCTCCTGTTACAAGTGGACCCTAACCAGGGCTGGGGAAATCCACTGCTTATAGCAGTCCACAGAATGAACATTCCCTTTTGTCCTGGTGAGTTAAAGTAGAACACAGACTTCCTTAGGAAAGTGAGGTCTCAGCGGTAACTTTCTTTTCCTCCTTAGTGCTCTATCTGTGGGAAATGTTTCTCTCAGTCCTCCAGCCTGAACAAGCATATGCGGGTGCACTCCGGAGACAGGCCATACCAGTGTGTATACTGCACGAAGGTACGTGGCATGCCCTCCCAGGGTCCACCTGGAGCCCTGCCCTGGCATCCAAGCTCAGAACTGGAAGCGTGAAGCCCAACTGACAATGCATTCAGTTTGTGGCTAGCTCAGTCCCTATTGCCACTCAATATGTGTCTGAGCTTGCTGAAGCAGGTCAGATCTGGCCCAGATTTGCAGGGTTTTGTGATTGTAAACATTGTGAAGAAAACTTTAAAAGCATAGACTTGGCTAGAGTTTGAGCCTGGCTTCTGAAACATACCTAACTTTGCAGCCTCGAGCAAGTCCACTTATTAGCTTGTCTCTTGCTTAGTCCCTCCGTGGTAATGGGATGTAGGGTGGGTGGATTCCATAAGTCAGTTGATGTCACACTATAAACACTAATGGAATGCTAGACTCCTATTACTACTTTTTGTTGGGTCAGTGGTGGGGCTTGAACTCAGGGCCTGGGCACTGTCCCTGAGCTCTTTGGCTCAAGGTTAGTGCTCTACCACTTTGAGCCATAGCTCTACTTCCAGTTTGTGAGTGGTTAATTGGAGATAAAAGTCCCATGGGCTTTCCTGCCTGGGCTGGCTTTGGACTGCGATTGTCAGGTTAGCCTCCCAACTAGCTAGGATTCTCTGGCCCAGTTCCCACTTTTTAAAGCGTGAAGACTTAGATTGGAAGATTGAGACATTGTAAGTGTGGCATTTAATCTACGTCACAAGGAACATTGGATTATTAAAATGAAGGGGGAACTAAAGTAGTGACAATAACATGACCAAAGATGATTAGCAAAATAGCTCCGGTTCAGTTTTGATGATGGACATGTTCTGTCCAATGTGTATCCATTACTACATATCAGTGTATTACTACACATTACTATGTGTTGTTGCTATTTGAGTTCATATACATACATTTGGCCCGGCTTGCTGATGTCTATCTATAACCCCAGCTACTCAGGAGGCAGAGATTTAGAGGAATATGTCTCAGACCAGCCTAGGAAAAGTTAGTGAGACCCCATAACCTAGGCACAAATTAGTGAAATGTCAGCCAATAAGCTGAGCTTGGTGATTCTCATCTTTAATCCCAGCAATGAGAGAGGTCTAGGTAGGTGGATGGTGGGCTGACCAGACCCAAGCTCACTTGACCACTTTAACCTTGCATTTTCTGTCAATGTCTTTGGACTTCACTCCAAATAAAAGTCATTTTCTTGTCCTAAGTTTAAAATGAAATGTCACTATATAGCCTAGACTGGCTTTGAACTCACAATCCTCAGCTGGGAGTAATGTGCTGGAATTACAGACATGGACCGATGAATAGCTACAAAAAATTTGAAGGATCTGGAAATCTAGCAAATTGGTATAATACCTTGGGAGTTTCTTTAAAAAAAAAAATTGAGCCCAGCATGGGTGCCTCAAGTCTATAATCCTAGCTGCTCAGGAGCCTGAGATCTGAGGGTTGTGGTTCAAAGTCAGACTGGCAAGGAAAGTCTGTGAGACTTTGATCTCCAATTAATAACCAAAAAAGCCTAAGTGGAGAGAATGTAGAACTAGGCCCTGAGCCCAAGCCCCAATGCCAGCAAAAAAGGAGGGGGGGAGGCAGGGAGGAAACCTAAGGTGACATTAGGATCCAGGCGCGGGACCAGCCCGTGGAAGCTGGCTCTTCCTTCTACCCTCGGTTCTCTGCAGAAATTCACTGCGTCCAGCATCCTCCGCACACACATCAGGCAGCACTCGGGGGAGAAGCCCTTCAAGTGCAAGTACTGCGGCAAACCGTTCGCCTCCCACGCTGCCCACGACAGCCACGTGCGACGCTCGCACAAAGACGACCAGAGTGGCACCTGCAGCCTCTGTGGGAAATCCTTCCCGGATCAAGAAGCGTTCTACACCCACCTGAAGTTCCATGGAGACTACTAGCCCTGCGTGTGGGGCCGTGGCAAACGCAGACTCGCCCTTTCCCCCTCTTCTTCTGCTTTCTCTCTCTTTTCCTTGTGATGGCACATCCTGTGAACGAATAGGCCTCATGTGGACTGCGGATGTGGTTCTTACAGAAATGCTTTGCACAGTTGTTAACAAGGATGGACTTATCTAGAAAGAGTGAAAGTATAAGGGAGTGGGTGTCAGGGAAAGGAGGCTAACGTCTCACTATACCCAAAGACCCACCTTGGCCTCCCAGCACACAAGCCCTGGGAAGCGCCCCCAGATTGTGTGATAAGTTAGAGGAGGCCGGGCCTTTTCTCCAGTTTGCCTTGGGTCCCCAATTGTACAATGTCGTCACCTGCTGTTGAGCTTTATGGAAGAATGGTGTTTCGAAAAATCAAGTCAGAGCTTTGGTGGTATTGTAACTAAGTCTTTCATTTTTTAAATTGTTATTGTTATTTGTTATTATTTAGCTAGTACCATCGTTTGAACTCAGGGCTTTGCAAGCTTGCTTGGCTTGCTTGCATGGCTAGTGTCCTATCCCACGAGTCATACTTCCAGTCAGGCTTTTTTTGCTGTTGGTTAATTGGAAATGGAGTCTCACATTTTTTTTTTCTGCCCTGGTTGGCTACAAACCTCAATTCTCCTGAAGTTAAGAATACAGGAAGCCGGGCGCTGGTGGCTCATGACTGTAACCCTAGCTGCTCAGGAGGCTGAGATCTGAGGATCGTGGTTCAAAGCCAGCCCGGGCAGGAAAGTCCGTGAGACTTCTATCTCCAATAAAAACCCACTAGAAAACCAGAAGTGGTGCTGTGGATCAAGCTTTAGAGCGCTCGCCTTGAGCTGAAGAGTGCAGAGCCAGTGCCAGGCCCAGAGTTCAAGCCCCATGACCAACCAAAAAAAAAAAGAATACAGGAATTCCAGTGGTGCCCAGCTGGAAGGAGCATTTTCAACTAGCTCCCATTCTACCCCATGTGAAGACAAGCAAACACAAACTCAAATATTCACATAAAATATTTGAGACAAGTAGCCCAGGCACTAATGGCTCATGCTTGTAATCCTAGCTACTCAAGAGGCAGAGAACTGAAGATTGTGTTTCAAAGCCAGCCTAGAAAGAAAAGTGGATTGAGATTCTTATATCCCAAGAATCGGCAACAATCCAGAAGAGGAGGCCTGCTTTAAGTGGTAGAGCACTAGTCTTGAACGAAAAAGCTAAAGCGTGAGGCCCTACAGTCAAGCCCAACTACTGACATTAAAAAAAAAAGTTAAAAAAAGAGACAAGTATTTCCTATGAAACTAGCTAGCAACCAGGGGTGCGGCCCGTTCCTAGCTGCGGTCCTATTGACCCCCTGAGCATTGACTGGCTTCTGCCTGTCCATGGCCCATAGTCAAGAGGGGAGTGAATTCAATCCAGAACAGCTGCTCTGACAGCTGTGTCCCAGCTCTTTGAGCAGTAGATGGAGTGAAGGTAGAAGCAGTGACAGATTTTCCTCTGGGGAATTCACGGCCTTGACTAGGGTCCAGTAATTTTTCCTAATGGGAATGTGCTCTGTTTTAATTCATGTTAATTAAGTTGGAACAATGGTCTTTTGAAAAGGGGAAAGCTCATCAGGTAATTAGCAGCCTTCCTTTGACTGCTGGTTTAAAATATATTACTTGAAACATTTTCTTAATAGGTATGAGTTTGAACTTTTTAATCAAACTGTAAAGCAGGTGTTTGTAAAGCTGGTGTGATTCTCATTTTTTCACTCATTGAAAAACTGTTCTTCAAACTTGAATAGTAGGAAGTATGTGTGTGCATTTGTGTGTGTGTGTGCGTGCGCACGCACGTGCGCGCATATGCACCAGTACTAGGGTTTGAATTCAGGGCCTCACATCCTCACTTGGCTTTTTCACTCAAAGCTAGCATGAACTGTTTTTTGTTTAAGAAATAGATCATAATATCTTTTCCCAAGTAATTACCTGGAGCACCTACATTTCTTTCTTTTTCTTTTTGGTTCCAGACCTGAAGCTTGAATTCAGGGACTGGGCCCTGCCCCTGAGCTTTTTTGTTCAAGGTTAGTGTTCTACCACTTGAACTACAGTTCCACTTCAGCTTTTTGGGGTAGTTAATTGGAGAGAAGAGTTTCACAGACTTTGTTGCCCCGACTGGCTTTGAACTGTGATCTTCAGAGCTCAGTCTCCTGAGTACTAGGATTATAACTTGAGCAACTAGCACTTGGCTCAAATTACTTTTTGTATTTTATTAGTGTATATTGTGTAAAGTTTTCTAATTGTAATAGTTTCATTCATGCATTTAATGTACATTAGTCAACTACATCATTATTCTCATCTTTTCAACCCCTCTTATGTTTTACTTTGTCTTTTTTTTTCTCCTTCAGTACTGGTGTTTGAATCTGGGTTTTGTGATTGCTATGAAGATCCTCTACCACTTTAGCATCAACTGTCTTGTTTTTTTTCACAATGTGTATTTCACATATTTCTAAAGATGGTTGAAGCCAACTTTGTAACTATCATAGGAGCTGGGCACTAGTAACTCACACCTTGAATCTTAGCTACTCAGGAGGCTGAGATCTGAGGGTCCTGATTCAAAGACAGCCCAGGCAAGAAAGTCCCTGAGATTCTTATTTCCAATTAAACACCAAATAACCAGAAAGGAGAGATGTGGCTTAAGTAGTAGAGCACTAGCTTTGAACTATCCCTGGACAGCGCCCAGACCCTGCCAAGCCTCAGGGCTGGCACAAACAAACAAGACAGCAGATCTCATCTATAAAATAATGCAATTTTTATATAGTAGAGTGGGTGCTATGAGGAATGAGACAAGGCAACTTTTCCTTCCTCTTAAGCTAGTAAGAATTGCACCAATTTTATTGATAATATTCTTTCAATGATTCTAAGAGATATGTTTCCTTCACCATCATTATCACCCGGAAACATGTTCAAAATGCAGGTTCACTGGCTTTACCTAGTGGGTCAGAAAGTCTGGAGGTGGAGCTCAGCTCTATTATTTGAGAATCCCACTGCTATACTTGATTCCTGCCCTTCCCCCCCTTCATGACTGCAACACAGCAACAGGTGAAATTTAGTAGCCTGATGATTTGGCAAAGCCCACAAAGCTACATTAGAAGAAAACATTCAAAGTAGGCAGGTGTTTGCTTGGGACCCACGTAGGCCTACAACTCAGCTGTGCCAACATCAGTTCAGCTTAGGATGTACCCAGTGAGGAATCGGACAACCGTGGAGCAGCGGCCATTCACGGTATCATAGAGGTAAAATAACAAATCCTGACTTAGACCTTCTGTTATTGGTGGTTCAAGTTTGACACTACAGGTTTAAGTACTTTCAGAATTGCTTGGGGGTAGGGGAGTAGATTTTGATTGTGTTGATCTGTTAGGAACACTAAACCTAAGACCAGGACATGCTTTCACTGGATGCTGGGTACTATGATGCTAAATATCTTTTAGTTCTTGTTGAGAGAAAATAGTAAAATAAAATGATCAGAATTATTTTGAAAGAGAAAGTATAAAGAAAAATAGAGCTAAATGTGTCTCTTATTTATCATCTCCATAACATGGGAAATCATAAAGCAAAATTTTCTAAATTATTTTAAAAAAATACATATTCACGGGGCTGGGAAGGTGGCTCAGTGGTAGAGCACTTGCCTTGCATGCCTGAGGCCCTGGGTTCGATTCCTCAGCACCACATACGAAAAAAGCCGGAAGTGGCGCTATGGCTCAAGTAGTAGAGTGCTAGCCTTGAGCTGAAGAGCTGAGGGACAGCGCCCAGGCCCAGAGTTCAGGCCCCACGACTGGACCAAAAAAAAAAAAAGAATACATATTCAGGAAGTTAGTAGTGCTTCCATACACAGATGAAGTTTTTACCTTATTGTTTTGTTGATTTTCAGTAACTTGAAATAAATTGCAGTAATTTAAAATGAGATGCTTAGTGATGAGTTTAGGGAGGTTCTGATTTTGTATATGACTATCTTATCTCAGGATAAAATATTTTCCTGACATACTCTTTAGTCATCAATTAGAAATTTTGTAATTCTTTACTGATACATTAAAATGTGGAGTAAATGGTATATGCTTTAATATTATGTAAGTTCTTTATAGAGTTATTTTTTGTTTGTTTGTTTGTTTGTTTTGGGGGGGGGTCTGGTCGTGGGGCCTGAACTCTGGGCCTGGGCTCTGTCCCTCAGCTCTTCAGCTCAAGGCTAGCGCTCTACCACTTGAGCCACAGTGCCACTTCCAGCTTTTTTCTTTTTGCTTATGTGGTGCTAAGGAATTGAACCCAGGGCCTCATGGATGCAAGGCAAGCACTCCACTACTGAGCCAACTTCCCAGCCAGTTCTTTATAGATTTATAAATTTTATTTTGGATTTCTAGCAAAGAACTTTGTGTTGAAAGCAGTTTCTTGACAAGAAAATACAATATCCGCCAGGTGCCAATGGCTCATGCCTATAACCCTAGCTAATTAGGAGGCTGAGATCTGAGGATTGAGGTTCAAAGCCAGCCCAGGCAGGAAAGTCTGTGAGACTCTATCTCCAATTAGCCACCAGAAAACTGGAAGTGGTGCTGTGGCTCAAGTAGTAGAGCACTTGCCTTGAGCTGAGGAGCTCAGAGATATGCCCAGGCCCAGTAATCCAGGCCCCACAACCAACAAAAAAAAAGAAGAAAGGAAAATATGAAATCAAAGTTGGTAACATCCCAATCTTGGTTTTCACAAACTAGTGAACAGAGTTCAATATTTCTTGTTTTTGTTTGTATTTTGGTTGACATTTTTTTTGAGTGGGGGTCCGGTCGTGGGGCCTGAACTCTGGGCCTACACTGTCCCTCAGCTCTTCAGCTCAAGGCTAGCACTCTACCACTTGAGCCACAGCACCACTTCCGGCTTTTTTCTTTTTTTTTACTTATGTGGTACTGAGGAATCGAACCCAGGGCCTCATGCATGCAAGGCAAGCGCTCTACCACTGAGCCACTTTCCCAGCCCCTGGT